AGCGCAGGACAGAAAGAGATTGAGAAGACAGAAACACTGACGGGAGGGGAGTGGAGTCTTGGGGGTGGCAAAGCCTACAGTGACAGCCAATTCTCTTCAGCACTAAAGTTAATGATCCAGGGGCTCCACTACCCAACCCTAGCCCCGATCTAGATGAGTTCGCACTTTGCTGCTGACCTTCATCCACCTAATGCATGCGGTCACTGCTTATGGGCTAGGATACTGCACACGTGCTACATGTACATAATTAATTAAACTAATCCAGCCAATTTGCATACTCTCATTACTTTGGGAACAAACGTACGCGACTTCACTGCCTGAATTGAAACGGCGGAAGGATGTCTGAAAATGACGATTCATTATTAGCAGTGTGTGTAAACTAGACAACTTCACATAGAAGTGTTCATGCAAAAACTAATACTGTGATATACAGTTTATAAATGTGGGAAAAGGGTCTTCTAGTGATTATAATATTTGTTTCACCCCATAATGCCCAGCACTACTGCAGAGCCTCTGCTAGCTTTATTAACGGGGGAAAAAAAAAGACAGCTTTAAGTGGTCTACCTACACAGACAGGTGAGAAGAGTGCCCTGACTCCCTTTAGACTCAGCCAGACAACTTGAGAGTTCATCAAATATTCATAGATACAGCGAGTAGAATTAAACAGCTCAATAACAACCTGATAGGCGGATTTCAAAATAGACAAAACAGCAGCTTACCAGAAAGAATGACATTAAGTCGCCTTACAAAACCAGGTAACTGAGCGGTACCGATTAGGATTGTATATGACAACGTTTGATAAAAATATGCTCCACTTGCCTTCTGTCTATCAGAGTGGATGACAGGAGCAACTGCTGAATTGCACTTTCTTCCTACCTGAGACGGGGCACAAAGATCGGCCAGGGGAAGGAGGAGGGGACGAGCTGCCTCTGCTGCTGTGCTTCACTATTATAGCAATAGATTTCTAATTCCATCACAGCATCTGCTAAGTCAAAGCTGTCTCGCAGGGTTTGGGGTCGGTATGACAGCTCAGAATTGCAAACTGACAATTATAGCCGGTGCAGAGAAATGTGGCTGTTCACACTGCAGCCCGCACTGTAGATATTCTCAAAGCAAAGCCGCTATAAGGCTAGGTCATTGGGGCTATATCTCGGGGATTAAGTTAATCCGCTATATAAAAATATAGCCTTTCAACAGGCTACTGCCTCGGTATTACAATAGTAAGCTTAAATTCAATAGCCCGCAGTTAGGCACTATGCCTTAAGTTTAATAGAGCATATCCTTATGGGTAATGAAGGCCCAGGAGTGAGCAGGTGTTCATTCTCAAAAGCAATTTCACTGTTCAGTACCTGGTTTAAGGTGTTTAAATCCTTAAAATTAGCTACTGTAGTGACTTGGGTAGAACAAAAAACTACAGTCTGGAGCGTCAATGGCACATGCTTAGGAACATCTGCTCTAGACACAATAACAGAGAGGAGAGTGTGTGTGTCTCTCAGAGATGAAAGACTAACATCAAACCCTCACACAAAAGATCGCTGTAATAAGAACACAGCTAGGAGGAAGAGAGTGACTGCAGCTTGAAGTACATACTTCACCTGTCCTGTTGAAAAGGGCTGAGAGGTTGAGAAAGAGAAACGTGAAAAAAAATACAGACATATACTGCAATAGTTGTTCTAGGAAACAGGCTTCGTTGTCAGTGATTCTGTTCTGTATTAAGTTAAATAAGCTGCAGTCCCTGTAGGGAGGTGCAGGGCTATTCTGCAATATACAGTATACTGAAGATATTAGCTATAAAGCCCACAGCAACAAGATGCTGATTTGGCCCTTTACCGTGAAATTTCTTCTCCCATTAAAGCCAGAGGGGTCCTGAAGCAGATGCATTGATTGTAAGCCTGAGGGGAACAGGCTTTTCAAGCCTCGCCAGTTCCGGCAGAGGACTTTGAGATGACTTGAGTTTAAAGATCAACACTCTCGCCGTAGCCAATTACAAGAAGGAACGCTGTGTTGGTGCGTGTCACTCCCACTGATTGCTCAGATAATGAACGCGTGCACTGCAGCAATAGAGTGGTGCACGTAAACAGAGCCGTTGGCAGGAAATTGTTGTCAAAGAAAAATGTAAGTGAGAAGAATGATCCTGATGATGTTACTTTTAAACAGACCCAGTAGCATATCAATCTCTGT